TAAATCATTAGTAATAGACTAGAATTAATTTAATTTAATTCCTCCATATAGTCAAAGCTTCTGCCAATGTACTTAAAATACACTCCTCTGAGCAAATATATGATCAATGTAAACTTTACAGGGGGGACGGAGATTGTGTCATACAGTCTGCATCAAACAATTCCTAGCAACTTGTCCCAAAAACTGTGGGGAAAGTTTTGACCCATTTGTGTTTTGCAAAAAAGGAGGAAACAACCAGTCAGTAACTAAGAGACAAAGCTGCTTTTATTCTTAGTTAACCATAACCATATGTGAGTCAAGACTCAGTTCCAGCTTGATTCTAAGTAAAAGTCCAAAACCCTTTTTTTATCATTAGCAAACAGATAGATTGTCACTTTGCTCTCATGCTTTCTTCTGCTTAAATTGCATCTCATTTGCCATTTGATTGTGAGCAGGAACTTAAATAAACTGTTGTATTACACTGAATTTTAAAGTAAATTTTTGCTTGTGAGCAAAAGCCTAGACTGAGTAAAGATAGATGATGAGTCTTATACTCAAAAAAACCTTTGACTTTCTAGTTTGTTCCACGTCCCACCAACATGGAGGAAGTGTGGATCTGACCCAACAACTGTTGCTGCACGTTCAATTCACAGGAAACTGAGAGGAACACTCGCTCACACAATTCTCCACCTCATATCAGAATTGGGTCCGTTACCGTTGCATCAGTCTGACATTTTTCCGAGCCCTCATAGGAGGAAGATGAAGAAATCACTGTTGGCCAAAAGGACGGATGTGAACTCCTCTGGGTAAACGTTTCAGCTACATGGTCTTAAATCTGACATACATTTGGCAAAGTTGCTTCATTTTTTAGATAAGCTGTAAAGATCGAAGGAGTGAACGAAATACATTTTTTGTGAGGGTTTGGGGCGATTCCACAGACACAGAGAAGAATTTGAGCCACAACCCATCACAGCTGAAGTCATTTTGGGACTAATGCCAATTGGTGAAGTTGCTCTACTTAAACTAAAGAGCAGAATCCTTTAATGGAGCATCTCAAATGTTGCTCTTGTCCCTAAATGCAGCATTGGATTTTTTGAGGGGAACTCATTGTCCATGCAGATGGTCGCAGCTTTGTGCTTCGACCATCGTGACAGGGATTTCATACCAGTGTGTGACCTCTGCAGACCACTCACACTCTACTGGGAATTCGAAGGGGCTCCAAAGGTAAAGATGAGGAGGCATTTCAGACTCGCAGGCCTCCCTGAGGGGTTTTCTGTTCTTTGTTTGCCTGTCTTCGTCGCTTCTCTCCAAAACCTTAATCCTCTAAAACAGAGCTGGGTCTCCAGAGTTTTTAATCTCAAATGGGATTTACTTCACCCCTTCTGTGTCTCCTGAGCCATGTCGGGGTTGAAGAGGCCATCCATTGGAATTCCTCTTTTCTACCTCTGTCCTCTCAAACCTCAGGGTGTGTTTAGAAAGCCACTTCCAGCCCATTCATGCCATGCCTTCGACCTCTCCCCAAGCTCGACTCATATGCCTTTTGACTTCACAAGATATTCTCGATTTAAACATGTACAATGTTTATTTGCTCATAAGCTTGTGTTCTAAAAATGGGGTTAGAGGGAACGGGTTCAGCAGGAAGCGAAGGAGTTGGATTATATACATAGGATTTTTGTCTGACAATAGAAATGCCTACAAACATGCAAGGAAAAGGAGGCAACTGAATGTTCCTCTGTGTTCCTTCTCAAATGCATGTTACATACCATGGGGAAATGTGGGTTTATCAACAGGTTGCTGCATGTAAAATAATGTTACGTAAAATGTAAAGTCATTGTCGCATATGTGTTGCAGAAATTAGATAAACTGCTTTTAGACGTGCACTGAACTTGGGATATTCTCCTGAAATTGGTGCTGTATGATAGAGTCAGAATCTCCAGACAATCTCTGGAGCTTTTCCTGCTCTGGATAATGTGCGAAAGACCCCATGAAACCTTTTTCAGGTCTGAAAAAGGCTTTAGTGGCCAAACTTCATCCACACAAACACCTGTTGAATTATAGCTGAGACTGTTTTAGTTTTGCAGTTCACGTTTGTTTCCCTCTTTCTCATCTTTCTTTCATTTCCACGCAAATTTCACGTCTGCAAAGAAGTTGAGTGTTTGAATGTCTCTTAAAAACAATCCTCTCACTTTTCTCCTATCGTTGCCTCACTCTTTCCCTCTTCTTTTTCTTTTTTTTCTTTCCTCTACTCTCCGTCTCTCTCTTCTCTGTGGAAATACACCGTCAAGGCTGTGCCCTGACACAAGAGTTAACGCTGACTAACTTTCTGCTTTGGCTACACAAGCCAGTAAACAAGTGTGAGGCTCAGACAAAACCGTGGAGAGAGCAGTCAACATATTCAACTGCATCAAATAAAGAAGCTGATGAAATGAAGTGAGGCTTTGTGTCTTCACACCAGCACAGAGACACAGCTGTCCCTCAGTTCTCCGTGGCTCCAGCCTCTTCTCATTGGGGTTTGGGTTCAAGCGAGGAAGCAGACGTACTAAAGTTCTTTCACAGATGATTTGTGTCCCAAGACCGCAGCGTGCTTTTTTTAGACGGGGGAGACAGGGTGCGGATGACTGCGTACCTACCACGACTATATGAGCAAACAGAGGAGACCAACACTTAGTGACCAGACTCAGACACGCTGCAAAAACAACGCCTCGGCATGGCCTCACGTGTTATGGTGAAATTATACTTTGGTGTGAGTTCTCACAGACACTTGAGAGAACAACATGTATTCAAAAAGAAGTAAAAGAAATGATTGCAATGTGTTTACTTACTTACACTTGAGATTTCCTGAGGGGCTCTCATGTCATGTCAAGAATTCAGTATTTGTAATTTCTATTTGTACAGGAAACTCCTCTTTTCTCATCAGTTACTCCCTCAGGCAAACTTTCCTCCTTCATTAGCTCTTTGGTTTGTCCTTGACTAAAGGCTTAAGACTGCAAAACACTGTTGACCTTTTGCATGAAATCACGTGCTGCTTTTGAAGAGACACTGTGATAAGAATGAATAATGCAGACTTTTGTTAAAAACAGCTGCCTCCATGCACAGCTACATTTCTTCATTTCTTTGGAACATACTTCCCTTGTGCTTTCAGGGAAATCTGAAGAAACAGCACATGAGGCTTTCCAAATGAATTATTCTGGCCATTTTGGCTTTGTCTGCTGTTTCAACAAGTGATTCCTGTGGATAGCGTCACATTACACTCAGCTGTCTTTTCCAAGAGCATGACTCAGGAGGTCATTAGACAAAAAAAAAAACAATCATATAAAGATCCAGGCAGGCAAACAGAGAATCAAGGGCCAGACAAGGAAAGAAAATGGCACTCAGTAGAGCACATTCCCAACTACAGCTTCATGGTCCATGAATTATTCCTTGGGAAAAATTTCAAAAAACAAACAAACAAGAAAAACCCAACAACAACCGTGCAATGTTAAAGAAAGTGAACAATTCTTCTAGATCCGCCCCCAGATCTGGATGCAAGTTTTGTGTCATCTTCCTCACAAACAACCCAACAACAAATAAATGAACAGAGATGAAGCTATAACCTCCCTGGGAGAGGTTAAAATAAACAATAAATACAATACACAAAAGTCAAACACATGATGAGGATCAAAACTGTGAAGCTATGGCACAAAGACAATCTGGCAGAGAGCACGAGAAAAATAATATATACGATATGTACATGTTTGAAGATTAAAGCCATTGTTAGCCACTGTTAATTAAAGTTTAAAAACTAAAATAACTTTTTACCATGATTTAGTGTTTTATAGAACTCAACTTGGTCACTGCATGTAGTAATATGCAAACATTAAAACATTGCAAACTAAACAAAATCATAAATTACATTTTATTTTTTAAGCACTTTTCACAAAGATTAGTGCTCTTTAAGAAAAATCCAATATTGACTGATGAGTCGTAAATAAGACGAACTAGGCTGATAATGAAATTCAGTAAACCAGATTTTTTTTTAAATCAATAACTATATGAAAAAGATAGAAATAATTAAAAGAAAAATTAAATCACATAACATTCTTAACAGAATGATATTTAAAAACATGGATGCAATTAAGCAAAGTAATGTCTATAAAACAAACTTAATATTCATCTGAGCCTATGAGGACTTTCTTTATACTTTGCACATAGTTTTATATCTATGAACTTAATCTCAGCCATGGAATGTTGATGGAAGAATGTCTCCATAATCAGTTAATGTGGAGAAGCTGCCTCTTTGATATTATAACCACATTATCATTGGATATTTCTGCTCATTTATAGACACACAGAGGTTCTTATTCCTCAAAGCTGGTCAGAAACTTTCTAACAGTTGGCGGAGTGTCCCACATAATGGGCTGCAGATGACATTTCAATGTAATCCCACATCAAAATACTGAGAGAGACTCATCATCTGTAAAATTGTGTATCTCTATCGATGCTCTGTTGCTTTGCACCTTGTAGCTGTTGTTTGAAATGTGTTATACAAAGTTCATCATTATTATTATATAAGACAGTATAGTTCATAATAAACAACATCCTCCAAACTGATCATACAGTTGAATCAACGCTTACCTAAAGAAATATTAATAAATGATGAACATTACAGGCTTATTACAAGCATCTGCTTTGTTTTACTTTTAACCAATGCGTGTTTATTTTCTCCTTTGAACAGAAACTAAAGATAACATGTGCTTAAAAAATAATCAAGTGCATAAAACAGATCCAGTGGCACTTATGGGAAATTAACAGCAATCAAGAGGGATCAACAATCATAACAGAAGTGTGATGACAAGTGCTTTAGCTAAATGTTTAGAGGAGACAAGTACCAACATCTGTAACTTGAGAAGTGTAAAATGGAAGTCCTGCATCTCAGTTTTAGCATGTTTCCTTTTTGTATCACTACAAATGTGATTAATTAGCGGTGAGATTAGCAATAAGACTTTTAGTTGACGGACGCCAAGCGTGTGCGACGTGTGGATTTCTGGAGGAGCGTGAACGCATCAGGAGTCGTGAACGCATCACGCAGCGTGAACGCATCACGCAGCATGTAGCGCGGGTTCAGTGAGTCTCAAATCTCAGACCGGACCAGACGCGAGCTGCTCCACCGACCCGGTCCACAGGTAGGACACCTCGGGGTGTGTTAACCAACTCTCCCCGCTGTTATTTAACCAACCACAACTACCCGCGGGTTCGCATCTGACCAACTTTCATTCAACTTTCATTCAGACTCGACCCCGGAAAGACGAATCAACTCTGTACGTAACGTTATCGGTTCCTAATGTCAGGTTCCCGTCCCCGCACGGGTCACGGGCAGCCTTGGTCCTTGTTACCGGTCCGTGCCTGTGTTTCTAACCCGCTCCAGAGGGGCTGAGAGCGGGGGCGGTGTGCCCGCGGTGCGACGCTGGACGGCGACATTCGCGGTTCTTTTGTTGACGGTTTTTTTTTTTGTTGAGGAATTAAAATTAAGCGCCAACGTGACGCGGGATCAGTCCCCCGCCCCGGACCGGTTAGCTTCCCGCTAGCTTGACCGGTAGCTTCAGTCAGCAGGGGGGCTGAGGTTGATGAGGATCCGCCGGCTCACTAATGGATGACTTCAGAGGCCGAAAACAACTTTTATATTTGCATCAACGGTAAACTGATGCTTATAATGTGTCCCTCTAATATTGCTTTAAAGGAAAAAAATAAATAAAATTCACTTAAATAGATTAAATTCAATCTATTCACCAGTATGTCAATGGAGGAGTGGGTCAAGTGTTTGAGTCCTTTAACCACTTTAAAGAGTTTCAGGGTTAAACACTAAATCAAATACAATTAAAGTAACTGGTGAGCGATTCTTAAGACATATGGAGGCATCTTATGTTATCTTCTGTTTTGTTTTGTTTTTTTTAGTTTGAAGAATCGATCCCCAGTTACTTTAAATGTATTGGATTATTGGGCAATGTTGTTTAGCCCTGAAACTCCTAAAGTGTTTTGTGGACTGTGAGATGATTTTTTTGAATTTTTTGATTAGGATGCATGAATCATTCCTGAGCAATTCAGTTGTCAAAGTCTTTTATTGTTCAAGAGAAGGATGACACATCCTTCCACCAAGTTTCTTGTTAATCTCACCAGCAGTACAGTAAACGTGTTATCTTGCTCAGAATCAAACAGGCAGACAGGGGTGAAAGCATAACTTCCTTGGCAGAGGTAATAAATGGATTAAAGCAACAAATCCTCACTTTTGCTCCTAATGAATTGGTTATTGTCGTACGTTCAAAGACGTGATTGCTTACATTCTTTAGTCTCAGTGCAGCATGGAGACTGTCGCTTCCTTCAAGTCGATGTGTGCACCAGAATAGCGGCTTTGTTTTGCTCAGACAGCTGATGGGACAGCAACACCGGCCCACCACTGTGAGCGCACAGGAGCATCTGTTTCAGAGGAGTAGGGGTGTGAGTTGTCCCACCTGTTGAGTTGACCACCGTGTGTGTGTGTGTGAGTCGATGTATTGGTCATTCTAGGAAGGATGTGCAATCGGAAACTTGATTGCCAGGCACAGATGGAAACAGCATGAATCATTACCGTACAGTTTTACGAGTTGTGTGTTGGAAGTTTTTCTAAATGGTGTGACGTCCACATTATGCTTGATGAAGACTGGGCGTCAGTCTTCAGAGGATACAGGGTTGAATGGAGCTAATTCTGATGCAGATTCCGGGTGGTGTCCCTGTTTGACACCATTTAACCTTCCCCAAATTCCCATGGTATTACCAGCTAATTAAAACCGTTAATGACATAAACAGAAATGCCTCAATGTTACTCATTTACCCTGCTTGGTTCTTGGAATGTCATTGCAGTGTCATACTGTGGAGAGAAAATGTTGAGTTTGATAAGTGTCTGCCTTCTATAAGCACTGGGAAATGACTTTGAGGGAAAGAGTACGCCTTCCTTCCCTTGATCATATGACCAGCATGATCAGTCTGTGAATAAAGGCAACCCTGTTAAAAAAAAGGTATGCCAGTGAGTGAAAAATGGGCTCTTGTCCTTTCCTATTAAGATTACAGCCTCTGTCCAAGATATAGGTCCCACTTTTTTCCATTTGTCTTCCTAATTTGTTGTGTGCACTGTTGTCCTCGTCACTGAGGTCTCGACTAGCCTAGTTACCAGCTACCTCTTTTCACCCCCGCCCCCCCAGCTCTACCCCTTGCTGCACCGCGACCAGCCGAGCGTTGTTTCACTACTAAGAACAAGAAAGGGGATTTTTTGCTGTCTTGGTCACACGTTTCTTTTTCAATATAGAAATCCCCCTAACCCCTCATCTACTATACAAAAAGACTTGCTCGTTGTGCTTAAAACCACTGGATTGTCAAGAAAAGGAAAATAGAACCATAAGTCATTCATTCTTAATGGAGTGATAAGCGGACCCAAAAATTCTGTTGGTTAAGCAGAGGTTTCCTATAAAACATGGCGGGTTGGAGCTCTGTAATTTTCTGACCAACAGCAGATATTTTTGGAAAATCCTCTGCTTTGTGGGAAGAGGTCGTAAACGTTTGGGCACAAATGTGACAACTTTACCAATGAGATGGCAAGAAGACCAGTCTAAACATTTCCTGTTTGGCAAGATTTGATGTTTTTGGAGGAAATAATAAATTGTCTCTTTTTCTATTGGAGTGACGATCGTTGGAGTTAGATGTTACAAAGTAGTCGGGCTGTAAAAGTGTCAGACTGATGCCAAACTGGAGTTTTTTGTACCACTCTGTAGCCTACAAAGTGCCCATGTGTGTGGTGGGCACCATGCCAACACCAGGCACCTCATGCCAGTAGGCTCCTTTGGTTGAGAGAGGGATACCATACAGGAATCTGGGACATGACTAAGCGAGTATATTTAAAGTGTGAGTCCTAGTGGTGTCCACTGGAAGAGAGGAACATAGGAGGCAGAGTGTAAAATACTAATCTGGGTATGACTTTCTCAAAACTTGCAAAAGAGTAAGTCGAATACTGACGGGGGTTAGGTTACGCTAGTTACCATTAATTTAAATGACATGTTGTCTGACTGCTCTGGGAAGTGTCTATATAGTTTACGGCCACACTCGAAGAAGGTGGAGTAAAAAGCCTGGCCTGTTCTAGAGAGATATTGCCAGATATTGTGATAATGGGGCCCATTTTCAGACCACATCTCCTTAAAGACTTCATAATGTTCCACTTGTTTAACACTCAATAGTGACATCGGTGCGGTTTACCAGGTTTTTGAGAGCAATACTGAGCTTAGCTTAGGAAATAGATGGTGAACATCAGCTTCAGGTTTTTTCTGTGACTGTTTATTCTAGTAAAGTTACACTTCCCATTATTTATTTTCATGTGACAAACAAATACAGCATTATTTTGCATGCTTACTTATTTAGCACACCAATGACAGATTCAGTAAAGTCTGCTTAAGAGTTAACTTTTCACTGTAACACATTACAACACATCAACACCAATACTCTGAATAAAGACTTTAAGGAGACGTTATGCTTCTTTAAACAGTTGCTCTTAAAATGTAGATGTGACGTTAAATAATATTCACAAACTCCAGCTCAACCAATTTCACATCAGATCGGTGATGGGCCGCATGTTGACCTTTCTGATTTATCTGTCAGCCTCTAGTTTTCATTTAGTTTGTGCCTGGTCTTGTGGTAGATCTCTGTGTAAACAACCACCTATAGACTTGTTGATTAACATACCGTCTCCTGAATGCTGGACTCATACAGATCGTTCTCATAGACAGTGGTTTCTCAGAGTCAGACTCCAGGCTCAGACAAATTGGTATAGTTTGGGTGCATGTTACTTAATGGCCTTTAGCGTGTGTGGCCTCCTTCATATAGGGCTGTCTCTGTCCTCCCTCAGGGTAAACTCATGACCAGCTACATCAACAATTGACTTCCTCGTGTCTGTCAGCAAAATAAACTTGGACAGTGTGTTTTTTTGAAGTGCTGCAAACAACATTCTATTTTGCATGGAATAATTCAAATCACACATGCCAGGCTCATGTTTAAGAAACATTACTCATGTATTTAGTCCGACTGATTCATTGGTTTGCACATAAAATCAGGCTATATAACGCTTTCAACATTTGTGTGCCGATATGGACTGAAATGAAAACTTTTATTCTATAATAAACAATGCAGAAATATTTTCTTTATTCAAATTCTAGCCTCAATTACACGTCTTTGGCATAAGGGTTTGATAATGACAACATTTTTTATCTAAGTAAATAAATAAATATTAGTATCAGAACTTTTTTTAACGTCCTAATATAGTTATCGACATCTTAGATATTGGTCAGGCTCCAGTTTGTGTTCGGCTCTTTTCAGTAGTTTAGTCTTCGCCCTCCCTTCTCTGTGAGAAACCATTGGCAGGAAATTGTCACGTTAACCCAACATGTCCTCAAGCAATAGAGCAAATAAAACATCTCTTCATAGCTCTGCTTGTAGTCAAAAGCTTTTGTTAGCTTATTATAAAGAGTGATGATCCATCAGTGTGTTTCCTTGAGAGCTGTTGTATTTAAGAAGTCGCGATCTATGTATTTAATGAGTGAACCTTATCTTTGCTTTGAGTTATTTAGCTTGATTTGATGCCAAATTGGTCTGTATATGTTTTCTTTTCTAAGGAAGTGTGTTGAGGAAAATTTTTTCTGTTTAGAGACAGTGTCACACAGCTATCTGAGCACATGTCTTCCTTCACATCCAAGGGAAAAGATGCTCGGAAGGAGGGGAGCAAGAGCATGAATACAGAGTGGAGATGAGAGCAGAACAACATAGGAAAAAAAAATGGATGGGGAGTGATAGATGAAGGCCAGGGGAGCAACAGACTTGAAAGTAATGAAAAAGGTTTAGAGGAGAAATGGTCGATGCAGCGAGGCGAGAAATTAGCAGACAGAGGAAATGGAGGGAGAAATTAAGAAGACCTGGGAGCGTAGATTGAAAATTGAAATCGTATGTAGAGCAGAACAGATGAGAACGTAAAGGAAAGTTACTCAAGAACCTTGTGGACTAATACAATTTGAAAAACACCCTTCACTTTCTCTGCTCCTTCCAAGCCTCCAAGCCTTTAGTTTCCATTTCACGATTGTTCGACTCTCACAGCATTCTTTTCTAGGAAAGGTCTCACCCCTCTGATCTGTTCAACTTTTTTATTGGAATGTTAATGTGAAAATGTGTAGGGTGAGGTTGGTCTGAGGACAGAGGGGTGTTTTGAGGTAAAGGGGAGGTGGGATGCACTCTGAGATACAGAGGGGCAGGTCTAATGTGCAGTGGACAGTGGGGAGTCAACCTACAAAACCTCTGGATGGTATAAAACAAAGTGTGTGCAGCTTGTTCAGACTTTGTTTCATCTGACCAGAGGAAAAAGGAGGTTTCTCTCCCCCAACTGACTGTCGTGAGTAGAATTATAGAAAGTGACTTTAATGTGAGTAAAAGCTTTCCCACATGTTTGGTACTGGGATGTTTGCCTTGTGAGTTTCATAACTTTAGTACAACTTCACCACAAGCCAGGAAGAATTCTTTGCCTCATGTTGTGTGTTTTAACCCCTTGTGGCTACTTTTTTATCACGGTAAAAACTAAAGCACAATTTAGAAAGTTGAGTTGCTATGTTCTGTGTCGTGTTGTAAAGTTTGAGGTTATTTACCACTGCAGCTGGCATGCAGCCACCAAACTGGGGGTATACTGATTCTGATACAGTTTTTGCATGAATTGGTTTACTGTATCTGTTCAAATTACATTATCAAATTTACCATTATTAAATTGCTGTTACGGTCCGTAGATAAAAGTGGTGCTTTAAAATAGAATCTAAATCTAAATGACAGAGGGGAGGGACAGATTGCATCGGCAGTATGTTTTAAATACTGAAAACATGTTGGTTATCTGTGCATTTCAGACCTGGTGTTACGCTGATCCCACTTGAACTGAACACGGGCCTCCGCCTCACCAACATCAACCATGACGGCCATTAACGCTCCTCGAGACAAGTAAGAGAAACTCTTAAAGGAAGAACATTCCTTTGTCAAATCTTGGATGGACAACTTGATTTGTTTTCATTATCGTGTCATTTTGTACAAAGGGGTTTTGAATGGGACCCAATGACTGCGACGTTCTAAATTGTTGATAAGAAGTTGAATGACTTCATTGATTGTACTTTTCTTCCTGTGAACCTTGTTTTGTCTCTTTCCCAGATACAATGCAGTATGGATCATTTTCTTCATCCTGGGTCTGGGAACCCTGTTACCATGGAATTTCTTCATGACAGCAACAATGGTGAGTTAAACAACATTTTAGGACAGCTTCAACTCCTCTCGAGAATATTTTGAGGAACAACAGACAGATAGGTAAAAGGAGGAACCCTGTTGGTGACCTCGCAGTGACTAGTTAATTAAAAAGTTGGCCTCCATTTAGACAAAGGTCAGCTAACTTAGAGAAAATAAAGTTGTTTGTTTACCTTTCCCCCCAAATCCACCTGGTTTCACTCAGGAAGTCTGACCTGACCCCAACCAGGTGGATTTACATGGAAGCCCCTCTAATCCCCCACCATTGTTTTTGAGCCTTAAAGGGTTAACTTCTCAAAATGTGGAATTTCAGTTTAATTTTCCTGGCAGAATTCATTTGGTCTCACCCTGAGGGGAGGTTTTTGTTGAAGCTCAAATAGCTTGTAGCAGTCAAGCCACATAAATACAACTATACTGTGCCAGTAAATATCTATAAATGAAGGTTTCACATCAGTTTCAACAACACATGCACATTTGTAGACTGTGAATTTTTTGTATTGTGTCACTCACACTTTTATTTTGTGCACTATTTAAGATCATGCACTTTCTCATCCAAGCAACCTCCCACTTTTTACATTTACACCCAGTTGGCTGTTTATTAGGTACACCTTGCTGAATCTAATGATAAAACAGTCCTGCAATAGATCATACCTCCATGACGACTCAGTTTAATTTACTGTGTGCTTGGGTTGAATTATGTGACCATGGTTATATAAATGTACATCCTTCTGTCGTTTCTCTCCAGTACTTTACCAGTCGGTTGAAGGACCCACCCGTTGATCTACCTACCAATGTCACGGCTAACAGCACAATGGAGGGCGTAGACACCCGCAATGTGCTGGAGTCCAAGTTCAACAACGTGATGACTCTTTGTGCCATGGTGCCTCTGCTCATCTTCACCTGCCTCAACTCCTTCATACACCAGAGGTATTCACCCTGCTGCATTATTGGCATGTTCACACTAAGGAAAGAAATTGCAACGGATAATTATATAACTTATAAACGGCCTTGTGTCAAATATCTGATTGAAACCAAACATATCGGACAAATGAAAACTTACTAAAATGACAGAAATCATCTTTGGATAAAAAAAGTTTTTAATGTGCACTTATGGGGAGGTTCATGATCTGTACTCCACCTAGCCACCAGGGGGTGATCACGATGATTTGGCTTCATTCTTATACCTTCTGTTTCTCCACTTATTGGGAAAAATGAGTTAAACCTGAAGGCCAAAACATCTGTTCCAACATCAGTAGCATCTCTGTTCTGTCCTGTTGAGACAATTATCCCATTCCACCATCTATGCTTCAGTATTTCAGTTTATAACAGCGACAGATTTAGTCAAACAAGACGTTTTTATAGGAAAACTCTACAACTTTATTTTTCCTGTTCCACCACACTGCTTATCTTTTGCCCCCCTCGACCCACTGTAGGTAACACGATCCTGTTATGTGAATGAAGGTCTTGGTGCCTCCAGTATGTTTGCTTTAATTAACTTGGATTGAGAGAGATCTGGGGTGGACCCCGACCATGGCTGACTCTTCCCCTGCACAAACACACCCAGGAATGCTATTTATGTTCTCAGCTTCACTCCATCATCTTCTTCTTCATCTCCTCCAAACTTTGTCTCCGTTCTTTTTCTCCTGCTGTCCCTCTCTCCATCAATATTCTCACTTCTGCTTACAGTTTTTTTTTTCTCATGACACAGGCCTTTGTAAACAGACACAGCTTCTCTATTTCCCTTTTTCTCACGCTTTCTATCAGAGTGATATCAACACTTTTCAGATGAATAAAAACTCTGTTCCTATTATAATATTTTTGATTCCTGTTTTACAAGGAATCATAACCCAGTTTTCCACATTCTCATTACTTAGCAGTCTTTTTCTCTTGGTTTAGTTCTCCATTATATAACAAATAGTTAAATTGAAATTAAACATCCTATATTTTTATTTAAAGGACATTTATTTTATAAAGAACTCCTAAAGCATCCTAAAATGGTTATGGGTAATGTTTTTGACCAGTGGTTTAGGATTGTTGTGTTTTGCTGGGTATTTTTTAATTTATTTGTCTCTTGTTTCCAACTTGTGCATCTCAGGATTCCTCAGAAGCTGCGGATCTCTGGCAGCCTGACGGTCATCCTGGTGGTTTTCCTGCTGACGGCTATATTCGTCAAGGTGGACATGGCCCCGCTGTCCTTCTTCACCGTCACTATGATCAAAATTATCTGCATCAACTGTGAGTTTCTGAGTTTCTGAATTTATGATGATTATGTGATTCTTCTGTTGTCACTGCAGAGACCCTTGTATCAAACTGTTCAACAGCAGACACATTTCTAACCCTTTCTAAACTAGAGTTTGATGGCTAGCTTCAAATCTTTCAATGCAGCATGATGCTCATTTTGCCAATGGGTGAAGGTTGACGGTGTAGGTGAGTGTACAGTGCCCTCAAGCTCTCTGTTAGTTCCCACTAGTTTTAAAACTGCACATCTCATACAGCCTGACAACAGAAGCCATTAACATGTGAGGGTAGAATAAAAAAAATATATAATATAGTTTAATTCAAAGCAGCACAGCCTCCAAAACCTTCACGACATGAGGTTGCCTTAATTTTCCTTGACGTAATTTCCATGTTGAACTCGAGCAAATGATAAGTTCCACGTGTCTTCCTCTTCTTTGATCAAAATCTTCTGCATCCACTGTGTTGGGAAAATCCCTCTCATATGGACGCACACACACGCTGTTGTTCGATGCTGAGCTTCAGAACACAATCTGAAAATCTCACTGAGTTTGTATATTTACTATGAGTCCTTGAGCAGCAGGGATAAGCTCACCCCCCTCCCTGTCCCCTGTTGGGACGGCCCTGACCCCCAGATCCTCAGGAGGATCAGCCCATCATGTTTCATTTAGAGGGGAGCACGTTGTGACCTTGAAGCTTTGATATCAGCAGTGGCACATTCCTCTTTTGGACACATGTTAGAAGATTTCTGCAGCTAATTAAAATCCAAACCTTGTCCTTGTACAAGCTGCAGTAGTCTACTGGTGTGAAGTAATAATTACTTAAGAGTTGAGTAAAACATCTGCTGCACGTTGTGTTTAGAAATCATCTCACTGCTTAATTTTTTATGTTTTTCTGATGCTGTAGGACAATGAGTTTACTTTTGGTTTCACAGTGACTGTCATTCTTATAAATGCTTCGCCTTGTTCTCTCTGTCCTTGCTCAGCGTTTGGGGCGATTCTTCAGGGCAGCCTGTTCGGGCTGGCGGGGATGCTGCCCGCCTCCTACACCACTCCCATCATGAGCGGACAGGGGCTGGCTGGTGCCTTCGCCGCCTTCTCCATGATCTGCGCACTGGCCTGTAAGTGTCTCACATGTTCATGTAAATTTTAGGAGGTAGCAATGGTGCTTTATATAACCAAACTGCTGCATGCCCTGCTGTCTATTATAATGATTTTTGTAGCAACTGCTAAATGATTTAGAAACACTCGTTCATACAAATATTTTTGAAGATTAAATGTGTTAAATTATGAATGTAGTTTAGTGAGAAGGCCAGACAAAGGCTAAGAATTAGTTCCTCAGAATTCCCTCTGACTTTTGGGATTTCCTCCCCGAGCTGCTTCCGCACACTGCACTGAAAATGACACGTTTGAGGGAGATATTTTCCTGAAGCACAAGAAGAACTTAAATCAGTAAAATCAATAATTTACGATTGTTTTAAAAACACTTATGATTCTATGTGCCTTGTCTTTTTCATGCAGCTGGGTCAGCCCTGCAGGACAGTGCTTTTGGTTACTTCATCACTGCCTGTGTTGTTATTCTCCTGGCCATCATGTCCTACCTCGCCCTGCCCAGGATGGTAAGACTTCATTTCTTTTCTCACTAACTTTGCACCCTTTTGGACAGAACTCTGTAAACCCTCGATAAGAGTTGAATTCCTCTGCAGCCTTTGAGGCTGTTGAAAGTCTGCAGCATCTCAGCAAACACGCTGTCCTCCTTAAACTGGATCAGTGAACTCGACTCATCATCGTTGTTGGTTTTGTCGACAGGAGTTTTTCCAGTACTACACAGAGAGTAATGGCTCCAGACCATCTGAAGATGAAGAGAACAAGATGGACTTTCTCAAAAATGGTGCATATTATGTTATGTATATGAAAACTGAGATCTATTGCATGCACCAAATGAAACTTAACTCCATTTGTCACTTGGGCAAAGCAATGATAGCGAGATGTTTTTTTTTTCTTTTGGTGGTTTCTCAATCAGAAAGTCCAGGAGAGAAGCGACCGGTGGTGAGTCTGGTGGAGGACGAGGCCAAACCCAGCGTGTCAGTGTTAAACATCTTCAAACAGGTGAAACTACGACTTTCTCACAATGATCTGAATTGATATACATAAAATACTGATTGTGTTACTTTCCAAACTGTTTAATAATGACTACATCTTATAGTAACAGTCCACAGTCTTTGTTTCAGTTAGAAATGCTGTGCTGCTACAGAAGCAAGCCTTCATTTACCACTGTCCACCTGTGACAGCAATTAAACTGGTTGCATCATATTGATAACGTGCTCCGATGCTCTCTCATCAGATCTGGGTGATGGCTCTGTCAGTTTGCTTCATCTTCACCGTCACCATTGGAACATTCCCAGCTGTGACTGTTGAGGTCCAGTCTACAGTGGCAAACGGAGGCGGCTGGGGTGAGTCTCTGTTTCCTCCCTCTGCACAAAGACTAGTGAGTCTGACAACCTGACATTTAAGAGGAATGACCGCCACGTTTTTTTTTTTGGGTCCTTTTTTCCCAAATGTTTATGCTCAAACTTAATTTGTCTGATTCTAGACTGGAAAATTGTTGAATCCGTGTCTCACACAGAAAGTTTGGGCACTGTGGTGCAAGGCAGGTGTCTATTATAATGTTATTAAATTAAATTAAAATGTAATTACTTCTACTCGTATTATTTATCATTAAAGGCAATGATGATTTATATGAGGCACAAAGGTGTTAGAAAGCTTCAAAGTATTTTTCCTTCTCTGCCTCTGCTTTATTTATGAATATGAAAGCTTCCCATAAATATACAGATATAAGTTTTCTATATAAATCTTATCTATAATAACGGAAACTGTCATATCCTCCTGTAATGTTGTGTAGCTCTGTGAAGTTAGCAGCTTTCTCCCTCGAGGAATTCAGAAGCTATTGTTAGCCCTGATTCACACGATCTGGAGTCACAGTGGAAACGAATGAAAAATAACAAAGTAGAAAGAAAAGTTCATCCGGATCTTTTGATACTTCAGCATCGTGACTCTGGGTCACAGCTGGAATCCTTAGTAACAGCTGTGAATCCAAACCGAACAGCAGCGAAGGACAAAGCTGAGAACTTTCAGCTCAAGTGCTCATGTGAGATATTTGCAGTCTTGGTTTTTAACAACAGATTTTGTTTTGCTCCTTCGTCAGAAAAGTACTTCATCCCGGTGTCGTGTTTCCTCCTCTTCAACCTGATGGACTGGGCCGGCAGGAGTCTGACGGCCGTCTGTATGTGGGTGGGTTAAACACAAATGAGATGTTTTATTATCCAGCTCGGGGGACGAGCCGTGCTGCAAAAGCGAGGTCACGTCGTAAAAAAGCCAAGAAACGAAACCTTCAGTTGGTTCATTGGCTCATTGGTCAGGCTTCATGACACAAGCCCTCGTCTGCAGATTTAGCATATTGAACGTTTCCAGTGATGTATATCTTTTATAAACACATTAATCTCATAGAGTCCATTTGAAATGACCACATCAAAATATTTAGAGGGATCTTCTGTTTTCTGGATGGAGACAACAAGAGACCCGGTAGTTGATGTTTTAATGAAAGACTAAGCCTGCATAAATGTTTACACATGAATAAATCACACAGCCATGAATGGAATGGAATTAAGGAATGAAAATAGAGAAGACAAATATAACTGTTGAGATCAGAGGTTTGTTTTAGAGAGAGCAGATCAAGATCATTTTTCAATTTTAGGAATTCTTTGGAAGGTTTTTTGAGCTTGAACCAGAACCAGAGATGCTTTTGCTGCTGCGCTTAGTCTTATACTGGATGACTCCCAATTCCTCATCAAACCCTGCCACCTAAACTACCCACAGTGCACTGCGGCCGCCCACGGTTTGGTTACAGATGAGGGTGTGTTCCTATGAGTCAACTGCCAAAGTTAACGTACGTGTGTGAGTGAGTGTAAAGGAAGTGGTTTTGGGGATTTTTATGGTTGTTCTCTGACACACTGACACACACACACACACACACACACACACACACACACACACACACA